CTCTAAATTGCGTCCCAGAATCTACTCGACGAGGTGACCTTAACGTTGTCGCATGCGCAGATGACTTTTAGTGACGTCATTACGTTCTACGTCTTACCGTCGTCGTGCAATCGAATGCTCCCTATTAAAAGTAATAGACCTTTCCAGAGTGTCACCAAGGGGCGGGGCTTACCGGGAGGGTCCATTGTATGTGCTATCATCAACTACTGTTTTTATATAGAGCAGTGATTGAATAGAAGCGATACCGGAGTCGTTCACCAGCAGTGAAAGATGGTATAATTTTGTAAAACATTGACTGTTAACCTGTGAGTTGGTCTTCGCTCGTAGTGGTATACACTGCTATGAAATATTTATAGTATACAGAAGCCTTTTGTATTTGTAAATAATTATGCTAATGTCCAGTTAGCTCAACATTAGAAAAAAACAAGTTCCCGTAATCTCGAAAGCTCCGGTGAGGGCGGTATAATAATAGCAGTAGAGTATTTGTTGGCACTTTACAGTGTGTACATATTGCAGGGAGATGTAAAAATATTTTTACATTTCCCAGCATACTGTTTGATATGACACAAATTAAAGAAAAAAAAACATCGTAATACATTTCCCCTAAATTTATTTCAAAGAAATATTTATGGTAATAGGGCCTACCTGTTGATATAGAATAACTGAGTTAATAATACAAAATAACCTTGATTTTAAAAAATAACGATAGAAATTTCGTTTCATTGGTCAAAGGAAACTTTCATTTCCTCCGCCGAAGAAATGGTATAGAGGGCGGTAAACATCTTTAGTGGACTCGGTCTGTTCCCTGGGTGAACACAGCATTACACCTTAAGGCAGGCTCAGGTCGACACAGAACTGAAAGGAACTCAACTCAACTCAACTCGTCGACATGAGCGCTCCGCGCAACTGAAAGGAACTGACCGGAACTGACAGTCGCGCATATTTGTCGACAAAGTCAAGTTGAGTTGAGTTGAGTTGCCCATGTTCAACTTTTTGCGGAACTGAAAAAAGTGCGAAAAAATGCTGATTCTGATTCGGAACTCAAAGGAACTGAAAACGTTGATCCTGATATTAATCGTAATCAAGATGCATTAACTGAAAAAAATATATTATATTACAATGTTTTGTTAATGGCAGTTTACTTTATTCTTTGTTTAAAAAAATATAGGCCATAGGCCAGATTTTTATTCGAACACATTAACAAATAGGCCTAGGCTAGGCCTAAATAATAATAATAATAATAATAATAATAATAATAATAATAATAATAATAATAATAATAATAATAATAATAATAATAATATACTTACCATATTCTAGCTAGCCTAGGCTAGGCCTAAAGTGTAGAAAAAAGGCAGACATTTATCTAGGGCCTAGGTTTAGGTAGTCCCTCTGCAGTGTAGTGTTAAATTATGAATTCCATCAAAAGTATGCTGCTGCATTCGCGTAATATTAAATTAATACATTTTATAACATATTTGACAACATTGTCACGTATAAAATGCATTCGTGTATACTTGTTGTTTTTGTTTTTGTTTTTTCATATAGAAAAAGACCTTTCTTGTTTTAATTGTTCCACCAGATTTTGCATGAACCCATTTCAAATAGACCAATATGCGATACACTTTCCTAAATTAAAAAAAAGAGTAGATAAACTTCAAAAATAATTTCATTATTTTTAACCACACGTCAAATCTTACAAGCATTCAAACATTTATTTGCAGTTCATGAGATTTCGAAGAAAATGAAATCTTTAAAAACTCAATTCTGTCGACTACGAACAGGCACCATTTGTTTCAGTTGCTGGTCGACATTTTCAAAACAAAAAAATAAAGTAGATACACTTTTTAAAATAATTACATGTCTTAATAAAAACATTACAGACATTTTGCAGTTGATGGGATTTCGCGGGGAAATTTATTTAGCCAATAGTTCCTTTCAGTTGCCAGTCGACATGAGCCAAGTTCCTTTCAGTTCCGTTCAGTTCCTTTCAGTTGCTCAAAGTAGACATGAGTTCAGTTCCGTTCAGTACCTTTTAGTTGCGCGTAGCGCTCATGTCGACGAGTTGAGTTGAGTTCCTTTCAGTTCCGTGTCGACCTGAGCCTGCCTTTAAAGATGTACCGTATTTTCCCATGCAAAATACCAAAAAAAAAAAAAAAAAAAAATCATTTTTAGAATTAACTCTCCCAAGTACCATAAAAATTATCAAATTCAACATAAAAATTAGTGTATTTAAAAAATGTTTACCTAATATTTTTCCGCGAAAAATGATTAAAAAAAAGCACTTTCAGTCACTGGAATTGTTTCATAAAATTCAAGAGTAATGAAAAACCAACTCAGGTGCGAAAAAACCCCAGTGCAAAATTAATTGTTGCGTCCTTTGATGTGATAGGGCAATTCTCCGAAGTTCTCAGAATTTCAAAATAAAAGGGTCATTAAAGATTTTCACGCGTGGGGTGAAGATTACCTCAGCCTCACCATGGTTGGGGCTGGGGTAAGAAAATTTATGATTATGGCACCTATATATTGGCCAGAAATGGCACTCTTAGACTTAAACTTTAATTCAATTTTTGAAAAAAATAGGGAGGATGGCTGACTGGGACCCCTTGGAGCTGCCACTGTAATACTCATCATAATTTTTTGTCCCAGTAATTATAATCATGCCCACATTATTATTTCTCTCACATAGTCTCTTTGCATTTACAGTACTTTTAAAATCAACCAAGAGGTTTTTTCCTTTTCTCCTCTTTTTGAATTTCACTTCTGTGCAAGTATTGCGACTACATTGTGAGTGGAAATACTACCGTCTAACTTACGATCAACAGGACTAAGGGATAAGAAGCACACAAGACATTAGTTAGTATTTTTGTTTGACAAACATAAAGGTGATTTACTTAATTTATCATTATCATGATGCCATGGCGAGATTGCGTCAATCGGAGTTCATAAACAAGTCAAATAGACAGACCTATCCGTGTCCGGTCCAATCTGCATAATTATTGTTAATAACGGCTATAACATTCTATTGACTATCTATATATTTTTTTGAAATTAAGAAAATCAGGAATCTATGTATGTAGATAATATTGAACACTAATATACGGGTCTCAATAATATACAAAACGAATAAATCGTTTATAGTCGAAATTGTGCCCTTTGAGTTTGTAAAAATGGCCTAATTGGTTTATAACACGCTTTCAATTTTAACAACGTACAGACAGTATGCTATGCAGGAGGGGTTAGGCAAATTTGTACACTTTTACATATACATAAAAAGGTTGATTTAAAATAACATGCTATATTTGAAATAATGGTAAAATTATAATGTAACCATAGATATAATATCCATTTTTAATTTTCTACACTTGTGGAAATGTTCCCCAGTACTGTACCCAGAGAAGAAATCTTTCCGTTGACAGGTGAAGTCTAATGCTGACAACTAATGTAATGTAGACACATACAATATGCACTATATATGTCGAAAATTATTATTAACTCAAGAGCAGGCCTGGAAAAAAAATGTGTACAACAACCTATAGCTTCCTTGGCAGAATCCAACTTGCAGAAAACATCGGACCAGTGGTGTGCTGTACATTGGCATCAAGCAGCTGAGTTTGTTGTATTCGAAACCAAATCAACACACTAAATCAATCATTAGGACAAAAATTTCAGTACAAATATGTTTATTTCTATTAGACTAGCACATTAACAATCATGTTGAAATACATGAACAGAATAAAACTTGTGTTAAGTGCGCATAAAGTTTTACATTAAATATATCTAATAATATGTAATAATGCTGTACATTGCTAGTTTACTTTAAAATGTTGGGATACATGGATGTACATTGAAAGACAAAGAACATGAATTCATAAACCATGGAGCCATACACCTTAATTACATAAATAAGACTGAGGTTTAATATTAGAAGAAAAATATATTTTACCATTACACTATTCATAAAAAAAAATACATTATCTGTAAAGCACACATAAAATGGTTGCAGATACTATAATATTTAATACTGTACATTGCTAGTTTACTTTAAAATGCTGGGATGCACGAAAATATATTGAAAGACAAAAGAACATGAATCCATAAAGCTTAATTACATATCAAGGTTGAGGAAAAAAAATCATTATCACACTATACATTAAAAATACATTATCTGTAAAGCACACACACAGATATTTTTGCATTTACTAGATTTAATAATACTGTACACTGCCAGTTTACTTTCAAATGTTGGGATGCACGAAAGTACATAATTTATGATGACAAAATAACACGGATCCATAAAGCTTAATTACGTAAACAGGGTTGAGGTTTTAGAAAATCAAAATATGTATTCAGTAATATAATGCAGGGCCAAACTTTTATAACATATCTACAAAAAATAGAGTAAAATTTCACAGTATAACTTTGGCAACAACCAGCTTTATAATGCACACTACATACAACATTGTGGGAGGATATAGAGAAAAAAAAATCTTAAGCCATATTTACATTTTTTGAGTTGTAACTTGTACAGTTTTTGGATATATATCGCAAAATACAACAAAAAGAAAATATACCACGCCTATAAGATTTCATAGATTACTTGTTTTGAATGCAGCATTAACACTAATTAATGGGTCAAGAGGACGGACTTAAAAAATTGTGGAAAATATTGCTTCTAGACTTAGCGTTATTGACTTATAATTGATGCTAAGTCGGCTGGTAATTGTCTTGAGCATTAAACTGATGCTGCTGTTGTAACTGATGCTGTACCTGATGCTGCTGAGCCTGTTGCCGGTGCTGAACCTGTTGCTGAGGAAACCGCGGCTGAGCAACAGCCTGGCTTAAGATGGTCAGAAATTGTTTTTGAAACTCATTGGTAGCACTTCTATCCAGCGCTCTTTCCTTCATTTGCTTTTCCATTAGTTCAACTACCTTGCTCATTTTTTCATTAACATCACTTTGCATTTTCTGTAGTTGAGCTTCTTGTCGATCATTTATTGTTTTCCATCTCCTAAAATTGTACTCCTGCATTTCTTTCAGGCTCTTTGTAACAGCTTCCACTGTCCTATCTTTTTTTGTTTTTCCTTCTGGAGTTTCATCAACACTTCCTATAGCAAAATTTAAACAGTGGTTAGAATTGTCGAATGAATGTCGCAGTGTGACATGATTCAACGGGCGCAGTTTTTTTTTTTTTATGTTGACGAAAGTAATGAAGTCGTTTTAGCTGTTTTAACAGTAAATATTTGTGTTGTGGAATAAAAAAAAAATTATTAGGCCTAGGTTCAGCCTAGGCTGGCCCTCTTTCAATAAGTGAACATCATTCCATTCAAGGTCTAGGCTTTGATTATGTATTGTTGTTTGTTGTCATTTAACTACACTTAGAAGTGGCAATACCTCACATTGCTTTACTGGCTCTATATGGACAAAATTACCAGTAAAAATGTTTCAATTGACAATAGCAGTCCATATTATAGTAAAGTGAAATATGAAATCAATATGGCATATAAGGGGCAGTATATGGACAAATTTACCAGCAAAAATGTTTCAATTGACAATAGCTGTCCATATTTTGGTGAAACTAAATATGAAATCAATATGGCATATAAGGATGTAGCTATGGTGGGCAAAGCCTTTAAATTTTCCACCCAGTGCAGAGTTATTTTTATATATTCAAATATGCATAGAAACACTGTATATTATACGATTAATTCAGATGGTTTCCCTTATTCAATACACTAGTTTGACGTTCATTAACTTACCAGGCCTACAACCCTTAATTGGAAGGAGTTTCTTGTGATGTTGTTAGGCTTGGTGACGCTTCTCCAGTTGATGAGATTGATGGTGTAGAGGAAATAGCTGATTGTTAAAAAAAGTTAGTAAATATTAATCAATGTATATTTGTCCTTGTTGAGTTGGTCAAGTTGCATTTACATCTAGTCTTTACTCGATTAATGCACATTTATAGATCAAACAGGCAACAAACGAAAACAGTCAAATTTTTATGAGGCACTATGTCTTTTACACGTTTTTGTAGTAACTTCCAAGAATTAAACTTACTGTTAGGTTGACGGCGTCTTAATGGCTGTACCGATGGCTTTGAGATTGGCATGAGGGCATGAGTGTCATCCACAGGTGAGGAAGAACTGGAGCTTGACAATCTGCTTGAAGGTCTCGGAGAAGGAGTGTCGTCATATTCATCTTCCCATCCTAGAAAAGTGATTAAATTTTTTTTAACTGTGCATCTTTTCTCCCTAACTCACCGTCTGCAAGAAAATGGTTCTTTCAATAAAGAATAACAATTTATTTCATTCCCCTCGACCATGATTTTTGGCAGAAAAAAGCTGAAAAAAGATTAAAGTAAATAAGATTATATATTTTTTTAAGTTTTCTTTTTTCTGAAATTTAAGTTCACAAGTCTCTATGAACCTATAAATAATAGTAGTAAAAACCTACCCAAAATTTTCCCTCTTTATTTAGGTGGCACTGAAAATAGGTCTGGCAAGTCATCTTCATCATCATCTGACACGTCAGGCACTGAAACAGAGAAATCAAATATTTATTTGTGTTGTAAACACCATCAGGCAATGAATTTTACACAACCTTAACAGGGCCTGTTTAAGGGTAATAATTCTGAAAAGAAAAAAAACCCATTAGATATGCCTTCAAACTTTCACTTTTGCTGTTTAAAGAAAGCTTAATGTGCATCATTTTGATGAACAATTTGGGATCAATGGTTCACATTCAAAGTATTTATTTGGCATGGGAAAATCATCATGAAATAGGTGTGCAGGCTGTGTTCATGGTATACCGAGTTTTTTGTGCAAAATTTGCATGGAAATCGGCCCATATTTTCTGAATATGCAGACGGATTAAAAGGCCTAAATTTTCAAATGGGGAACATAGGCCATCCTTCTCATTCGAGAGCATGGTTAAATTCTTATCCAAGTCTTACCGTTGGTTATATCCAAGCATAGTTCGCAAGTCACAGCTGACCCAAATCCCTCTTCATTCTCGCTGCTCGCTTGTCCAACACATGGCGAGATGATGTGTGTTGGTTTTAGACAAACCCTACACTTGTAGCTGCCACACTCCTTGCCACATACAACACAAATTGGTACACCTGCAAACAAGAAATAAGGAATTACTTAAATATGATGACTCAAGAGGAACTTTTTAGATCCTAGGCCTAGATCAGTAGGCCTAGGCTATTTCTTTCCGTAACAAAAAATACTTAATCTGCCATATAAAAAAGTGCACATACACGCAACTGCTAGACCTACTGTATACATACACGGGTCTACATACTATACACACATGGATGATGAGCTTCTTTATACGAAACTTACGGGAAAAATCAGAAGTTTTAAATTTGTGCCAACTGATTTCCAGCCTAGGCCCTAGGCCTTTTAATTACACTGGCAACTGTGTACCAACTGTAAGAACTACTGTATATACCTAACCTGCATTGCATGTCGCATGGTCTGCCTAAAGTTCATATCCAAGTAACAAATGTGAAGCCTTGGTCTAGGTCTACGACGTACCTTTCAACTGACTCTTGGTTGTTTTTGTTGGTCGCGGTGGTTGGGAACTTTGGCCCAGCAGCCCAGGCGGCGGGTTTACAGATGGTTTACCACCTAGAATTTCATTATGGTAGTGTGGGCACGAAGCCTTCGGATCGTCCCGTTTTACATTTTCAGAGACTTTGCCCGTCCCGCGAATGAAGATGTCTCGTACTGTTTTGTGCTCGGTCCTTAGATTTTTTAGTTTGGAAACTATAATTGCTGCCGTGATTTGGGTGTACCCGAGGTCTCTCATCCTCACGGCCATCTTTTCGTGTATTATGGCCTTTTGCCGGCATAGGATAGGGCCTAGGCCCTAGCTTGTCTTCAAGTTTTTCAGAAATCTCTGGCTCTCTCCATATGTCTATCAAATCACACTCCTCTTTGTATGTCCAGCAATGCCTAATTCTTTGACAATCGGCAGCCATAATAATAAATTCTCAAACCAGAATAATAAGTAAAGTAAATCAAGTAAGTAAATCAACACAACATTCTCGCTACGCAAAGAACAATCCAGTGAAAAAAGCTTCGCGCGCTCTCATCTCAAGCTTAACTTGTGAAGATAAAAGGTCATGCGGCTTTAACCTGATTGGTTTACTTTGACCCCGGAAATCTCATGTCCTTGTAATCCGAGCCGACTTTAAAGCAAGTTAATTTACCGGTACCGTTATTCTAGTAAAGTTAAGAATTAACTTAAGTGACTTAATTCCTTTAACTAGCTATAATTGAGTGGTTCACGTCGAACTTTTAACTAGTTAAGTGGATGTATATCTAGATAAAAGTTCGACGTGAACCAGGCTATCATGTTTCAAGACGGGTATATCTAGATAAAGTTCGACTTGAACCAGGCTATCGCTGCACCCCTAAAATCGATGGAGTGGTTACTGAGATGATTACGGTACGAAATGTACAAACAATTGCGTTTTTTACTCAGCATTGGTCCGGAAATGCACCACACTTGGGACAGAGCAAGGGAAGAAAATTCATGATACTCATTCGTAATTTTTCTGCTCTTTCCCACTCGGTTTGAAAAGTGGGGTTTTAACTATAAAAGATCGATGAAAAGTGGGGGGGGGGGGACAACTGATAATGTGGGGACGAGTTCCCTCTGTCCCCCACCGATCGACGCCCATGATGGCATCTCTAATGATGGCCAGAAATGGCACTCTCACACTTAATATTGAATATAATTTTCTTTTTCCTCCATTTTGTTTTATAATTTTTGCAAAATTTAGGGAATGGGGGAATGCTCGAAAAAGCGCCGCTCCCGAATAAGCTCTGCAACAAACGGGATTTTTCGCTAATCACTGCTCTCGAATAAGCGCCGCGGCGCCTAATCGAGAATATCGTATTACCCTGTAGTTTATGAAACACTTTGAGAAACAAGGTTTTAAATACATTGTATATGCCTACATTGTTAAAATGAATAAATAACAGTACAATGAAGACACAAGTTCTTTATAAACTTTATTTATGATACGTGAAATAGTAACATGGGAACGGGTATGGTTAGCCATCGGGGCCATAATGAGAACGCGTTAATTTTGTTTTAACGGCGTTAAAACTTATTTTAACGGCGTTAAATCTTATTTTAACGCCGTTAAAATCTTATTTTAACGCGTTAAAACTTATTTTAACGGCGTTAAAATAAGATTTTAACGCCGTTTTTTACTCTATTTTAACGGCGCTTTTTTGCTCTGTTTTAACGGCGTTAAAACTTATTTTAACGCCGTTAAAACTCAATTTTAACGGCGCTTTTTTACTCCATTTTAACGGCGCTTTTTTAAAACTTTATAATAGCGCTTTTTTAAATTATCGATTTAACGCAATTTAACGAAAGTTAACGCAATTTTGATATCGACTTCATTCTAAATTTTATAAAAATGCATAAACTCACTCATCCCTCAAGTTTAATTCTGCCGTATTCTCTTCCGGAACTCCTTCCAACAGATGATTTATGGTTACAGTTAGTCGCTGTTGCAGCGCTTGCAAATTTTCTGCATTCATTTTTTATCCTTGGGGTGGGTGTGAGGAATAAAAAATGGGGCAATGTATGACTTTCAATCGTTCCCGCGCGCGTGTTGAGTTGCGTTAACTTTCGTTAAATCGCGTTAATTCGATTTAAAAAAAACGCCGTTAAAACAGATTAAAAAACGCCGTTAAAATTATATTAACGGCGTTATTATAAAGTTTAAAAAAAGTGCCGTTAAAATGATTTAAAAAAGCGCCGTTAAAATTGAGTTTTAACGGCGTTAAAATAAGTTTTAACGCCGTTAAAATAGAGCAAAAAAGCGCCGTTAAAATAGAGTAAAAAACGCCTTTTTTAAACTTATTTTAACGGCGTTAAAATAAGTTTTAGCGCGTTAAAATAAGATTTAACGCCGTTAAAATAAGTTTTAACGCCGTTAAAACAAAATTAACGCGTTCTCATTATGGCCCCGATGGCTAACCATAAACAGGCATGAAAAGCGACATGTCAATATTTTTTTTATTAGCGCCGTTCTTGAATAAGCGCCGCTCTCTCGAGTAGGCCTAAGCGCCTGACTGAAGCCTCCAAAAATCGTAAAAGCGCCGCGGCGCTTATTCGAGCATTTACGCTATGCTATTATAGCGCAACGTCTTTCGGTTGTCACTTTTCCAAGAAAAAAAAAAAATCTTTCCCTCCAAGAAAAAAAAAAAATCTCCCCCCCCCCCCCTACCAGGGCCATCGGACAGAGCTCGTTGGGGAGTAAAAAAAATATATATAAAAATAGGCCCACGCCAAGCCAACACATGTCTCTCACACTCATGGCCATCCAGAGGTTCCTATTCTTAAAGGGGGAACACCTTCTCAAATCCTAACCCCTGCTCGGGCCTACGAGCCCCCCCACCCCCAGAAAATATATCCTAGATCCGCCACTGCCTACAATATGTTCAGAAACGTAAAATTTATTTAAAAAGCTCTCTAAATTGTCAGTTTTCCCTGGTCTCCTTCCGAAAGGTTCTGAGAAACACACGTCCACGCTCACTTACACTCTCTTCGAGGAAATCGGTCGCTCTGTCGGGCAAATCCTGGCGATACCACGGGCTAAAAAAAAAACAAAAAAAAAAAAAAACTTAAGATGGTATAAAAAAGAGAGGGTTTTGTGTTGTGCTTTGCTTTGTTATGTTAAGTTTCAAATGGTATATACTGATGTACGTAGGCGTTTGTGCGATATTCATATACGTAATTTTGCTTTAAGTAAATTGTTAATGTTTTTGTTGAGCAAATAATAATAATAAAAAATAAACAATCACCAAACATGCGTACAGTTGAATTACGTCAAAGTGGTTTTAAATTAACACTCGCCATCGGTTTACACCGATTGAGAAAGTTCGTCTCTTGGAATTGAAACATTGTCATAATATTTCACGCTTACATTTTACGAGTTTTTACTTTACTAGGCATACTTCAGACCCAAAATGTTCGACAGTTGAATGATTCAAATAGAATATAAAGAAATAAGAAATAAGAAAAAAAACCCAAAAAAACAAACCAATAATTTGTCTAATAATGGGGAAAAATATTCGTAAGTTCCAACCGCCTGGGTTGACATATATTTGATCTCACTATTCCTTAATGATTTAAAGAAATAAAATATTAAATTTGAATTGAATTTATGAAGAATGTTTTTAACTCCAAAATAGGCCTAACAGATTAAAATGTTGTTTATCCCATCCTTTTCGTTTTCGTCAATCCCGTCGTCATGACTGTGCACTTAGCTACATCCGGTTTTTTTTTTTTGTTATAAAGTCATAAAAATAGAAAAAAAATGTATTAAATAAAGAAGGGGTTTCAATAGCTTTTCTATTTTTAGAGGCATAGATGACTTAAATAATGGCAGATTGAAGCCTGCTTATCAAGGTTAGAAAAAAAAAGGGCTCATAGGCCTACATTTTTAAAGGTAGAACAATTTCTTACGGTAAGAAAATGCCCTTGCCTTCTATAATGTTATCCCTGTTTAGTTGTTTAATTAATTTGTTTGTATAAATTCTCCATTTGGGAGTGATTTTTGAATAAATTGAATTGGCATTGAATTGATCTAATACTGGACGTTTTTACATGTCAACTACTTGATAGTTGACTAAGTTCGCTTTTCGGTTTTCCTCAGCTCTTGTTGTTGTTGTTTTTTTTTTTTTAAATTGCACTTTCTATTGTCTTTGTATAGAGTATCGTGTGAGAAATATAAATGAAATGACGTGAAATGAAAACTGCAGCACCTGAGCATGACAAAAGTCGAAAAAGGAATTCTTGTTTTTCTTTTTCTTGTATTTTTTTTTAAAGAGTGTACTATATTGACTGTATTAAACGGCCACCCACCGTGTGGGTTTTTTTTTCTTTTAAAATTGATATGTGCAATATATGAGCCTTACTATACTAGGCCTTATACCTGTTATTATTAAATGGCAGTAACTTGTGAATTGAAATGAATACAACAAAAAATATTAATTATTGACATACTGTATTGAGAACTATTTTAAACGTGTTCAAGTATTGTTCTTGGGATGGAGAATCTTTTTAAATCTCCGTGCATTGTTCTTTAGAATATGGAAAATCTATTTCAAACATGTTCATGCACTGTTTCTTTTGAACATAAATCGAGGTTACGGTGGACTATTATTTATATTCCTTTGTCGTTCACAAAAAAATGCTTGTATTCCGTTCATCAAAAGAAAATGAAACAAAAAATACAGTGCGCCATCAAAAGAGACCCGCGATTATGTATTTCCCAAATATGGATTGATGACGCATGTTCCAAGTAAAGCAATGACGTAAATTGGTTGCCAGCGCTACAAGCAAAAATTATCCTGAATATGTATTAAAGAAATCGAATGGCAACATTTCTAAATATACCAAAGTGATATTGAATTCGAAAAGCTGCAAAATTGGTTGATTTTGAGATATGGTATCTTAAAATTAAGCAATGTAAACATACTACTATAAATTCGGGAAACCACCTCCTCAAAATAGGACATTTTGATAGCTCTTAAATTTGCATATATTATAGGGCAGACCACAAAAACTAGATCTTCAACAAATCTAAGAAAATGCACTGATAGTTTAATATACTGATATAAATATAAAATGCATATTTTTTATATTTGTCTTATTTACACTTAGAACACCTATCTTTATTGGAATTATAAGGGACAGTGAAACGAGCAACTCTACCCAGTAAACCTTTACGCGGATGAACACTATAGTGTTTGTGGCGTTATTAGGCATTTTCATCAGTGTGGGCATTCCGAAAGGTCTGAGTTGTTTTTGACTAAAAATAGCACAAACTGTCTACGACAACATTCAACGTAGTTTGTCTACAACTTTGCTTGGTGAGTAAAAATAGATACTTGGAGTAGTGTTCTACGTTTGTATTATAAGCAATGTGTCATTTTGTTTGGAAGGAAACACGTTTTCTTGTTGAATTATTAGTGCAATGAACGTAGCTCCAAAATATAGGCCTAGGGCCTAGAATAGGCCTTGGCTAGCATACAGAGCACTTTTCGTGTCGTTGTTGTTGTG